CTGTATTTTTGTTTCTTTTTAATATATATGTATATCAAACAAAGAATAGGGTAAGGATAAAATAGAATTGTTAATATAAATACATTTTTGCACGTAGTTTTCCATTTGCTTCATTCACTAAGGATTTATTGAAATTCTGCTGTTCATATAGCACCATGCTAGGGAGGTAATAGTGTGTTGGGGAGCTCAGAAAAAATAAAAGTCAACATCTCCTGTTTGTAGGGCTACAATCTATTTGGAGACCAGTGGGAAAAATAAGGAATCAAGCAGATAAAATACAAAATATTTCGCTTTCAGCATTGATTTCCAGAGCTCCAACTAGATTCCATCTCTCTGGAACGTTAGAGTGTTTCGTACTTCTCTTAAGTCATACACTAACTTTGCTTATAAAATTACCTAGTTCAATTATAAGCCCCTTAGTATATAGATTGTGTTGCAGGCAACCTTGTGTCTTTACGTGTCTGGTGCAAGGTACAGATTTTGCATAAGTGATGGTATAGAAACTAAAATCCAGGAATTTCTGTGTTTCTTTGTTCAGTGTTGTTTTTATTTTATCATCCTGGATAGTATTTGGACGTGTTGGGCTTGAATAGTTTTGGGGGTGGGAGGGAGGAAGGGTATTCTAGGCTGGGGAGAACATTCTAAGCAGTCCTGGGCTTGGTTTTGGACATTGGGTGTTATTTGAGAAATGTTGCAGACTGTTGAGAGCAGAGTTTTTGTGGAGGAGCAGTATAAGAAAAGGTTGCCTGCTTTGTAGTTACTGGATTGTGAAGAACTTCTTAATAATAAGTTTTTAAAAATTGAAAGTAATACATGCATTAAAATATCAAGGTATGTGGCCATTAAATAAGTGAATGACAGGTGAGCCCGAATCCTTTTCTTTAAGGACCCACTATGATCAATTTTTTTGTGTATCTTTTAATAAGAGGTTGTCTGTGTTTATATCAGCATTATATGCCTCAGATGAGAAGATGCTATACATCAGGAGATGTGTCATGATGTATGTAACCATTTCCTTGTTGATTAAAATTTAGGTTATTTCGGGTCTTTTGTGGTAATCTGTGCTGGAGTGAATATCCTTGTCCATTGGCCTTTACATTTTAAAATTTTTTATTAAAATTATACATGAACATAGTCAACAAAGTCAATAAGGCAAAGACATAATGGAAACATTCTTTTGCTTCATCTGTACTTCAGATACAACCTCTTTCATCTCTTAGTTCTTCATAATTTACGTCTACATTTCCAAATGATATGTTTCTATTGCTACTTCTTGAATTTTTCCATTTTAGACATTTATTTATTTACTTTCTAACTAATAAGTTTTCTTATTATCTATTAACTTTCTACTATGGAAGATGACTATATAGAATTTGAAGTACAAAGTAATTTTCAATCATTATTTTGAAGGCCATGCATCCCTGTTATCCTCTTGAGATGTCTTATGCTATTCTGAGTCCTTTAAAAAAATATATATATATATGTATTTATGACATTTTAGTTTTATTATTTCTTAATCTCTGGAATCTCTTGGTATCCTGTCTTAAGTAGATATTTTTGGTCTTTTGAAGTTTCAGTTTTGCAAGCATCTCAGTTTCTCTAAAAGATAAATTACTGGCAGGGGAATAGTTGAATTAAAAGTGGGTGCATTTAGGGGCGCTTGGGTGGCTCAGTTGGTTGAGCGACTGCCTTCGGCTCAGGTCATGATCCTGGAGTCCCTGGATCGAGTCCCGCATCGGGCTCCCTGCTCAGCAAGGAGCCTGCTTCTCCCTCTAACCCCCCCCCATGTACTCTCTCTCTCTCATTCTCGCTCTCTCAAATAAATAAATAAATCTTTAAAAAAAAAAAAAAGTGGGTGCATTTAAAATTTTGATAGATATTGTCTGGTTGTAATAGAAATTGTTTTATTCCACAGTATCTTCTCAGCTAAGCTCTAGGCATTGTCAGAAAGCCTGGCTCTGACATAGATCATTGCCACCCTCTGTATCTGCACTTTTGAGCTCTTCAGTAACATTCTTTTGACCTTGACATGGCTCCCTCCCAGTCTTGGTTATAACACCCCTCTCCCTGCTCCTTCCCCTATGCTCACAGGCACATACTTCTCCGTCACTCCTCCAGTGTTGTTCCTCATCTGTTAATAGCAACAAAATATATTTTAGCTCACTAATTAGAATAATTAGTACAGTTGATCAGTTATTCATAGATATTAGATTCATTGCTAATTACACTGTAGCATCTCATCGCTAGGGTGAAGGGTCAGAACCATAGATAAAGGGTTCAGAGTCATCTTAGAAAGGAAATTTAAGTTTAGAAACAGAATCAAGGCATTGAGTAGAGTACTACCATAGAAAGCTGAAGTCTGTGGACTGCATCCTGGGTGTAAGCCTACAATTGAGAGATAGGAAAGAAGCAGTTAACGAAATGCTGAAATGGGCAGATAAATGTGCTGTAAGAAAATTAAGACTCAACAGAAGGAAAGGTTTCAGGAAAGAAGTTGAGGTCAACGTTACTTCACAGAAGGGTCAGGGAAAATGAGGCCTAAAAGTGCTTTTGGGGAGCAGTTTCAGCAGTGTTGGGAGTTAAAGCTAGGGAGGTAAGGAGATGGAGTGAACTCTGTAGAGCACTTAGGACCTTTGATCTGTAGGGAAGAGCTGGGGTTGAAGGTAGAGTGAGAGGCAGGATCTAAAGAAAGTGCTTTTTTTTTAGGGTGGAAGAGAGAGTACCTACCTGTGCATGTTTAGGCAGATGGAAGAAGAAAGGTGACTATAATGATGAGAATAGAACACTTTAGGAGACAGAGAAGATAAGGGATCTAGGGAGAGATCCAGCAGCACATTTTAAGAAGGAAGAGTGACTACAGGAGATCTTTTCCTCTGAGCCTGAAGGGACAGATAGCATTATGGATGAAGAGGTAGGAATGGGTGGTGAAAAGCTCACACTGTTCATCTCCAGTCAGGTTAATGGGATTTCAGAGCATGGAGATTGTTTCAAATAGCATCTATTCATTTGTTTACTCACCACAAATACGTGCCACTTTGGTAGAGATGCAAAGGTGAAGAAATTACCAGCTAAATGTATAGAGACACATTTATCTCTCTCTCTCTCTCTTTTTTTTTTTAGAGAGCGAGCGAGCAGGGGGAGGGGCAGAGGGAGAGGGATAGAGAGAATCCCAAGCGGACTCTGCACTGAACCCAACGCGGAGCTTTGTCTCACGACCCTAAGATCATGACTTGAGCTGAGATCGAGTCCAACGCTTAACTGACTGGGCCACCTAGGCACTCTTATCTCCCTGTCTTTTTATAATTGTTAGTCATAGTCTGAGAGTGGGCGAGGAAGGAGTGGACTGCGGGGCCTATCTGGCCTTGTAGATTGGTGTCTGTGAGTGTCTCAGAGGTCAGTGGAAATGGGGTGGTGGTGAAGGTGACTGTGAAGTAGTTAACTCTGGCCTAGGGAATCCAAGGAGCTAATGAACTGAATGGTGTTCTCTCAAGGTGGAGCGCGACCTGAAGGTGGAGGTTTGGTCAGAGTGATGGAATGAAAGAGATACAGGGAATTATTATGATGGGGGAGGTGAAACACCACCACTTCTGAGAACTTAGAGCAGAGCTTGGAATGAAGTAGAATTCAACACACTTGATTAGGAGATAAGAGATGAGATTTGGTAGATGAAATCATGAACAAAAATTACAGGAGGAATATGGGCGCTGGAGCAGAGATCATCTTAACTGCCAGGATCACAAAAGTGGCTGGCACGTCACAAGTCATATTTTTATTGCTGTGATCTGTGTAGTGTGATAGAAAAATCAGATATTGTGAGTTTTAAAAAAGTAATGGGTTTTATAATGTCAGTGAGCACCATTTTTGGTATCTTGAGGATAACATTGTAGGTGTGTACTCTGTTTTTAGCATTCTTTCTGAAAGCTCAATTTCACTTTAATGTTCATATTTATTAAAATGTGCAGTGTGATACTTCTGATCTTTCAAGAAATGTGGAAAACTGTTTTTATTGATATGTGGTAATATGTACAGAGGTAATTGGATAATAATGGTGTAAATACCTAAAGGTCCTAAGGTTAGTGTAATAAACCAAGCACAAAAAAATGTTCAACCTTTGAAAGCTTTGTTTTTCCTGTTTGCTCTCACTGCATTACGCCCTCTGAAAGTAATGACTTGATGTGTTTATTAATAAGTAAGTACTGTTACTTTCAGAGGGTTATCAAATGTAGCAGGTACTTTGATGGACAATAATTGTGTTTCTGTCTCTCTTCCCCCAATGCCATGAATCTCATTCAGTCTGCAGAATGATGATTCCTTTTTGCGGTTGCTTAAAGTACAAAACAGTCAACCAATTGTGAACTGAAAGAATGGCTGTATTTTTGACAAGGCATCAATGAAATGTAAATGGCCACTTAACAATAGCCAGAAACCAGTGTATTCCTATGGGAAATCGTGAATTCTTAGGGTCAAAGTGATCAGATGTCCTGATTTTCCTGGGTCAGCCCTGGTTTATACCTGCTTGTCCCGGTGTCCTATTCAGTTATCACGCCCCTTCACTCTCAGAAATGTTCTCATATGGATAATATATGGTCATTCTATTTTTAAGTCTTATTTTGAAATTTATGGTCTGTACTTTGAATCATTAGGTGAAGATGTATCTTAGTAGTTGAAAGAAGCAGCCAGTGGTTGTTTTTGCCTGTAAGAGTATAGAGATACTTGCACAGAGTTGCTTCTATGATTTCCCAGTATGTGCATTATAGAAAATGTTACAGTGTGTACTGAGTTTGGTAGTAGCTATTTGAGTCCAGCAGATGTGTGATGATACAGTATTTAATCAGGTAGTAACAGCCTTTCAAATAAATACATCCTTAATTTTTCTGCTTAATATCTTCTGAGAAAGAGAACTATGGTAGTGATAGGCCTTGGATTTATGAAATGTTGGGTGTAAAATGTTTATCTAACAATGACCTAAGTCTTGATTGTTTTCTTTTCTTCAAACAGCACTCATGTTCTGAGGGAGCCTGTGTGTTTAGGGGGATGTGAGCACATCTTCTGTAGGTAAGTAATTATGGCTTGATACTTAGTGTTTCTATATTTTTTACTAGGTCATCATCATGTAATCATATTAATAATAACATTACGTTTATGTAGCTCTCATAGACTGCAGGTAACTTACTGTACATTCTCTCATTTTGATTCTTACAACTGTCTTAATTTGCAAATAAGAGCATCAAAACTCAAAGGGGATGACTTGTCCAAAGTTGCAAAGCTTACTAAGTAGCTCGGCTAAGCTTGGGGAGAAGAATCTATTGTGTATTTGAAGTATGACTCTTTTTTTTCCTTCCAGTTAGTTTTGAGTCTAGACTTCCCAGATTATGAAAATCTAGTTCTTTCTTTTTTTTTTTTTTTAAGATTTTATTTATTTATTTGATAGAGAGAGACACAGCAAGAGAGGGAACACAAGCAGAGGGAGTGGGAGAGGGAGAAGCAGGCTCCCCGCTGAGTGCGGGACCCTGGGATCCTGACCTGAGCAGAAGGCAGACGCTTAACGACTGAGCCACCCAGGCGCCCCTGAAAATCTAGTTCTTATAGTTAGTGGGTTGGTTTTCTAGGGTTGCTGTAACAAAGTACCAAAGACTGGGTGCTTTAGAGTGACAGAAATTTATTGTCTCACAGTTCAGGAGGCTAGAAGTCTGAGAGCAAGGTGACAAGCAGGGCTGTGAGGAAGACTGTTCCATTATTCACTTCTACCTTCTGGTGGAGAATCTTTGTCTTCTGGCATCTTTGGCATCCCTTGGCTTGTAGATGCATCATTCTGATTTGAACTTCCATGTTCACATGGCTTTCTCTCTTGTTGTGCGTATTTGTTTCTGTGTCCAAACTTCCCCTTTCTGTAAGAATGCTAGTTATATTGGATTAAGCCTCACCTCGACGATCTCATGTTAATTTGATCATCCAGAAAGATCCTATTTCCAGATAAGATCACATTCTTAGGTATTAAGACATCAACATCTTTTTGGGGGACACAGTTCAAGCCATAACAGTTACTGTGAAGTTATATCCGTGTTCTAGTAGGAAAGCCCTGGCTTATAGATTAGAATACTAGATTTTCATCTCATTCTATTTCTTATTTTGGAGAAATAAATTCAAGGACTGAATGTCTTAGTTTAATTGTCTGAGACAGGGTTGATATAGCCTCCTTTGAGTAGTTTTTTCATGATTTCAGTTACGACTCTGTGACTGTCTGGCACGAGCCACTGCAATGTGGAGTTAAGCACATATGAAAATAATTTACTGCATGACTGCTGTGGGCTGGGATGCATGGGAAGCAATTATGCTTGGGGTCCCAATTTTCTTTCTGGAAACATGGATCTGATATATGGGACATATCCAGCTGGAGGAGGGGATAGGAAATAGTACCTGTTGCCTACCTGATAACTCCATTTGGATGATGACAGGGAATTTCAGACTGGCTGGTTGTGCAGAGCATGTCTGTTGGCCATTTGCCCCTTCCATCGGTAATCTTCGCGGCCATAAAGCTTACCACTGATTGCAGAATTGCTCAAGGCAAAAGCCGCAAGTCATACCTGATTGCTCTTTTCTTCCTTATCACATTATTAAGTTCTGTCAGCTCCACCTCAAAATGTCCCTTGAATCTTGAATTTTCCCACTTTGCTCTGTATTTACTACTGTTTACACTTTGGTCCAAGCCACTATCCTATTCTTTCCGCAGATTGTTGTCCTAAATTTCTAACTGGTTCCCTTCCCCATTTTCTCCATTCTTACCAGTGATCTTTTAAAAATGTAAATCACATCCATATCATTACCCTCCTTAAAATCCTCTAGTGGCGGGCGCCTGGGTGGCTCAGTTGGTTAAGCGACTGCCTTCAGCTCAGGTCATGATCCCAGGGTCCTGGGATCGAGTCCCGCATCGGGCTCCCTGCTCTGCGGGGAGCCTGCTTCTCCCTCTCCCACTCCCCCTGCTTGTGTTCCCTCTCTCGCTGTGTCTCTCTCTGTCAAATAAATAAATAAAATCTTAAAAAAAAAAAAAATCCTCTAGTGGCTTCTATTACAGTTAGAATAAAATCCAAACTCTTCACTCTAAGGTTCAGAAGACCCTGTACAGGACCCAATTCCTACCTGCCTCTCCAACCACACTTCCCACTAGCTCACCCTGTTCTAGCCACCTTCTCCTTTTAGTTCATTAAACATACCGAATTTACTACTGCCCCAGGGCTTTTGCACTTGCTATTTCTTCCATCTAGAATGTACTGCCAAATTTTTGTGACGCTGACTTTTCATCAGTTACATTTCAGCTCATATGTCACCTCCTCCAAAAAGCCTCCCATCATCGGCTTATGAAATGATGCCCGCTTCCTGTCCTCACTCGGTAGTAAGCAGATTTATTTTGTTTCAGCTGATGGACTCACTTTGTATAATATATCAGTGACAAATCTGCTGGAGCATAACCAACTCCATGAAATTGTATGTAAAGTGTGTGTCTGTGTGTGTATGTGTGTGGAGTGTGAGAGAGATCTGTACCTTTAATTGGGTTCTAAAGGGGTCTGTGACTTAAAATGGCCAATGAAAGATTAAGAGAGGCATGAGAACATCTTAGAAAGTGGTCATCTGTATATGACATGATCACAGGAAAGAATAGATTCAGTGCAATTTTGGTTCATTTTGATTATGTGATGCCAAGAATTAGGGTAACTGTAGTCTTTGCAGGTTTGAGGCTGTGTAAAACTGTTGAGCAATGCTGTAAATATCATGCAGTTTTAAAAGATGGTTTGATATATACCAGTCTAGCTGAAGCATAGAAGTGGGGCGGGGGAGGGGGGTTGGGGGAGGGGCACAGATTTTCATGTCATTGACAGTGTTGTAGTTTCAAGGTACTTTCATGCCAGTCCCTGATAAAAATAGCCCATGTATTCTTTTTAAGATAGAAATCATTTAAAACATATGGCAGACATATGCAAACTTTTTGGCTTTGGATCATTTTACACCCTTAAAAGTTGAGGACCCCAAAGCAGTTTTATGTGTGTATTCGCCATGTAAAACCGAGACATTTAAAAAATACTGTTCAGTTAAAAATAACAATAATAAACTCTTTACATAGTAACATAAGTAACACTTTTTTAAGGAAAAATGACCATAAACAAAGAAAAACGAGTGAGAAGAGTGACACTGTTATATTTATGCAGATCTCTTTATTGTTTTGCTGAATAGAAGACAGTAGATCTCATACCTGCTTATGTAATCAATCTGTTGTGATATATTGTTTTGATTGCAGCATGTGAGGAAAATCTTGTATTATACATCTGCATAATTGGAAAAAGGAAGGATTTTTAAGTAGCCTTTTTAGGTAATTTTGGATATTCTTTGATACTACACCATTATTTGGCAAGTGCTAGTTTCTTTAGATTTATTATGGTGTGGAATCTAAAAGGATAACAATGAATTTTTGGTATTCTGTTACATTAAATTTCACTGGTTTATCCTGTGCTTTGAATGGATCTTTTACCCAGCATGATTTTCTGACATCATGCTTTGGTCATTTGGAAAATACTGACTTACTGAGTTACACAGATCTATTGAGAAATGACATCTTTCCCCAGAATTCTAGATTTATGTTTACAAAATAATTTGAGAACAGTTAAAAGATGAACATTATAGAATGTATAAAATAGACTGATCTGGGTACCAGTGTGGTGCTAGGTTAAGTGTCTTACCTGAGTCTCATTTTCTTCATCTGAAAATAAGGTAATGATTCTTGATGAGTCGATTGTGACTGTTGTCACTAATGTTCCTCAAATACTTAAGTATTACACAATAATTGATGATTTAAGTCCCTTGTGGAATCAGTTTCCCCTTTTTATATGTTGGGGTTTTAAGTTAAGAGTTCATAACTACAAGCAAAGAAACTCCCAAGAAGTTCCTTTTTTTGCTACAGAAATTTGACATTTCATGATCTCAGGGTCGTGAGATTGAGCCCGTGTTGGGCTCCTTGCTGAGCGTGGAGTCTGCTTAAGATTCTCTCTCTCCCTCTCCCTCTGCCCACCTCTGCCCCCTACCCTGCCCGCACACACTCTCTCAAAAAAAAAAAAAAAGGAAGAAAGAAATTTGACATTTATTGAGTATAATCTCTCCTAGCTCTACTATGGTTTACAGATTCATTTTATAACATTTATTGAGTTACTTTGCATCAGAATCATGCCAGAATCTAAGATGCAAAGAGTAGAAATGCTACAGGCTTTTTCTGGAAGAAGCTCATATTTTAAGAATCCTCTGTGCCTGCAAATAGTAGGTCCCATGGAAAGGAATGTGGTGTTTGGGGGAGATCTGGCTTTCATCACTGTTAGGTTACCAGTCTTGTTGGAGTTCCTCTGGTGAGGCTAAGGAAGGAGTGGATTTTTAGGTTTCTTATTTCTGAATCCACAGATAAGCTTTGGAGGGGGGGATTATGAACCCCCCCCCTTTTTTTTTTTTACCAGAGTTTATGTATATCTTCATCAGATTCGCAAAGGATTTGTAACCTCTAAAGTTAAGAACCCCTTCCCCCCAACTATGAAACTTTAACTTCTAGACAGATAACCTGAGGTAATTTAATTGAGTCTACAGGTTATAAAGTGTCTGAAAGAACCAAGTGTCTTTTCTCAGAAACTACATTAAAGCCTTTAGACACTTGTCGGCAACAAAACAAAAAATACCTTTCCCGGTCTCTTTGCAGTAATTTTCCATGAAGCACAGTGTTAAGATTTAGGATACAAAAGCTTGAGATGCATGGCTGTTATGCATTTGGTACTAAATATGTTTATTTATGTCCCTCTCTGTACTCTTGCCCTTTAGAAGCTATGGATTTATTTGCTTGAAAAATTATGCAGACTATAAGTCAAATCTCTTCATCTCAAATTACCTAAGCAACCTCAGATTTAGATTTTGTATGTGTGTGTATTATACTCTTTCAGAAACATTATTTTAACAAATATTTTATGTTTGCTCATTGCTTGTTAAACTTTGCTTCATTTACTTCTGTTGAAACTCTATTTATGTTTATATTTTGGAATTAAGATTCTGCTGAATGCATTGATAGATATATGTATTTTTTCCTTTTAATCTTTTTTTAAGTAATTGCGTAAGTGACTGCATTGGAACCGGATGTCCAGTGTGTTATACCCCAGCCTGGATACAAGATGTGAAGATAAATAGACAATTGGACAGCATGATCCAGCTTTGTAGTAAGCTTCGGAATTTGCTACATGATGATAAGCTTTCAGGTGAGAAATATCACTGACTCTCTTCATTAAGTAGCTGATGAATTCATATTGATCACATAAAATATGTAAACATCTATCAGGAATTCTGATGACCTATTTTAGATTTTAAGATATACAGTGTTTGCAATTATTTTGAGAAGTGACAGATAACTTAGAGATAACTTAAGGAAGCCAAGGTCCAGAGAGGTTAAATGACCTTGCCTAATTTCACATGTGTAGTTAGTACCAGAAGCAGGAGAAATAGAGCCCATTTCTTCTGAGTGTCAGTCTAGACACTTTTCACCACCTACACTGCCTGCTTTTTACAGTTACATTAATTTCTGTATAATATATATAGAAAAGAGATTTTGCCCTTAAATTCACTTAAATACACTTTTACAAGATAGAATATAACCTTCTGTGCATCACTTTTCCAGACTGAATTAATTAGATGAGCACATTTTGAAAGAACAAAAATCTAATATTCATTTTCTTTTCTATTTAAATGGGGGTTAATGTTTTTCAGATTGTTCTTAGACTCTGTGTATTAACTGTATATCTTCCCATTGTGCTTTCTGCTGAGAACTAATTAGCTGGGGAAAGAAAGTAAAGGGTTTTGAATCTTCATTAATTAGATATTAGAATTATCTTTTTATTGACCAGATCATTTCATTTTGCTTATGTTTATAGGATAACCTTTTCTTGACTGGCAGGATGCTGTGAATGATTGATAATGTTTATATAAAATGGTTGAATTTTTGTTTTTAAATCTTCTGATGTTAGATTTCTGACATGATGTGTTATTGCCAGTTACTAAAGGTGAAATTGATTAGACAAAATAAAGAAACAAGGCAAATACTTTGAGTCTTATTGACCATGTCCATATTTTTAAGAAGAATTTAAATTACAGTCTACCTATGAAAAGTTTTTTTCATCTGATCATTGTATTAGAGTCTATTCCTTAGGATAAAATGTGCTATAGTGATAAAGTTTTACTTATTTTCAGATGTAATTATACACACACAGTTCAAAAAGTACTTACCTTTTTGAAAAAATAATGTGTTGTAAATCTTTTTAAGAACACAATGAGGAAAAGTTTCATTATTAGTTCATCTTTTTTCTTTCTTACTCAAAGGTAAGGCTGGTAGTGTTTATTTTCTAATGAAAAAGATTGGTATATGATCTGCTCCTCCACATACAGATACCATTGATTAAATAGAGTCCATGCATCTTTGGCCATGTTGGGGGTAGAGGGGGAGGATTAAACTCTCTCTCTCTCTTTCTTTTTCTTTTTTTTTTTTTTTAAGATTTTTATTTTTAAGTAGTTTGCACACCCAATGTGGGGCTCAGACTTGCAACCCCGAGATCAAGAGTCACATGCTCCACCAACTGAGCCAGCCAGGTGCCCCTAAACTCTTGATTTAAGTGTACAATATGAAAAATGTTCATGTGTGCATGAAAGTGGCTTTCCTCAGATTCTTTTTTTTTTTTTTAACATTTTTTTTTTTTTAAAGATTTTATTATTTATTGACAGAGACAAAGCGAGAGAAGGAACACAAGCAGGGGGAGTGGAAGAGGGAGAAGCAGGCTTCCTGCTGAGCAGGGAGCCTGATGCGGGACTCGATCCCAGGACCCTGGGATCATGACCTGAGCCGAAGGCAGACGCTTAACCGACTGAGCCACCCAGGCGTCCCTTTCCTCAGATTCTTAAAGACGTGTGGTCTATTAGGAATGGTGGCCATGCATTGACATTTGGGGTGCTACTCTGAGAGTTCTGTCAGGATGTTTTGATTTGATTCTTCAGTTGCTGTATAGTAATATATTAGCTTGCTCAGGCTGTGGTAACAAACTGGGTGGCTTAAAAAATAAAAATTTATTATCTTACAGTTCTGGAGTCTAGGAGTTTTACATTGAGGTGTTGGTTCAGTTGGTGCTTTCAAGGTCTGTGAGGGAAAGATGTCTGTGAGGGAAGGGCCTCTCTGCTTGGTTTGTCTTTGTGTCCACTTGGTGTTCTGCCTGTATGCGTGTTTGTGGCAAATTTCCTCTTTTTATAAGGATGCCAGTCATATTGCATTATTGAGTCCCACTCTACTCATTTTTACCAATTATATCAATAATGACCCTGTTTCCAAAAATAAGGTCACATCCGGAGGTGCTGGGAGTAGGACTTGGATTTATGAGTTTGTGAGGAACACAGTTTAGCCCATGACAAGTAATGGATATTTTTTTTAAGTGACATTTTTAATGCTGATAAAAAGGGAATAGGGTGACTCTTGATGGGTAGTGAATTATGGCATAATGGGGTACTGGTATGGTACTTGAGAGAAGAGAAGAGAAGAATAAGCAGGGAACTTCTCTAGAAATTTTACTGTGGTTGGTGATATTTGAGTCTTTAGTATGGTTTTCATATTTTGTGGACTCTGAAATGCCTCCACATTTCATCATTACTAAAGATATTGTGGAAAATCATTGAGTTTAGAACAAGTTTTTGTATGGGGCCTGAGGCCTTTTAGAATGCCGTCTTTCTCATCTAAAAACAGATGTGGAGTTTGGGGAGGGGATTATGGTGATTTATTTTTCGAAAGCCATTTTGTGTTCATCTTCCTTATTATAGTGAGTAATAACTACTTTGGCCTTACCATACTTTAGTAGTGCTGGCTTCAACCTTACTTACTTTAAAATGAATTGAAATTTCAGTTTGGATAACATATAATCAGAATTTTAGGAGCAGGAAGGTCATCTTGAGTCCCTTATTCTGTGGGTGAGGAAATCGAGGACTTAGGTTATGCAGGGAGGTCACACTGTAAGTTTCTTGTTTACTGTTTTATCATTTAGCTCAAAGCTTTCATGAGGAGTGTAGGTGTTCATTATATTTTTTGAATTGGAGACAGATTGGAAGTGCTAAGGCTCAATTCATATCCCAAAGACTAAACTTAATTAAAGCAATTTTAAAACAAATTCTTAGGTTTTGGTTTCAACAATTCATTTTATAATGGTAACATCCTCCTTTGCTCCTTTTATAGAAGATGGTAAATCTAGAGAATAAGCATATTGAAATAAAAATATCTGTCCAGATCTGTAAATTACATGGTGCAGAGCCTTTTCTGCTTATCAGTTGCATTGTCATCAACTTTTCCTCCTGAGGGCCCCAAAACAAACTAGCCTCAAAGGGCATTTGAGTTGGAGAGTATTGTTCTTTGTTTCTTTATAGTGTATTCAACATTTTATGTAGTAATTCATGTTGATTTATATAGCAAGTACTCCTAAAACTAAAGTGGTATAAGGTGTACTCAGTGAATAGGTACAGGGAACAAACAGTTGGGGACAAATAATGGTTTGTCCTCTTTATAATGAGGAAATTGGAAATGGGTCTCATAAAATAAGGGTATTCAATTAAGTTATCCCTAAGGTCTAGCTTGAAAATCATATGGTTCTGTTAAATGGGTGTTGAGGATGATGATTTAAGCAGGATGGTTGGCTATCTCCTACATCTCTATTTTTTTAAACCCTGTAGTTCACAATTTATCTTTCAAATGAACCTTGTTACTTGCATTTACTATAAAATACATAATTACCATAATTAAGGTGGGTAATTAGGAAGAGCTTGTCAAATCATGAACATGGTACATGGTATACTGGAGATAAAGAAGCCTGATTTATAGAAATACTTTTTAAAATGAGCTTCCAAATACTCGAACAGATTTTCCTCAGTTCAGTGTACTTTAAAGAGAAAAGATTGTCTGTCGCAAATTTTTCTGACAACCATTTATGGATAATTTTACCTTATTCTTTATAACATAATCTGCTTTCTACTAATAGAGTCAAATTTAAATGTTTGTATTTTATATTGCTTCCCATCCTATTAAATCTGACTTGGCAGGTGCTGGTCAGGCTCTTTGAGGAATGTGTTGGTGGTGGTGGGACAGTTAAAAACAAAAGCCCTTTGATGGTGCTTTCATTGGATCACAGTTTCCTTTTCTGTTTTCTGGGTTCCGGAGAGAGGCTTGTCTTTCTGGAGTGAATTACATAGTGTTTCATATATGTTATGACTTTTTTATAATAGATGAAGATGAACATTTGAATAGCTGTGTTGCTGTTGTTTTTTTTTTTTAAATGGAACTGAGTACTTCTTACAAACAAATCATTCTTCAGTAAAGGCGTTAATGTTGCACAGATGGTAGCAAAGTACTTTGATTTTTAATAAGGGACTAGTTTGTCAAAGAGATTTCTCAACTTCTCTTGTGAAACCTATAATAGAATAATTTGAAAGGCACACAATGTACATAATTATAATCCTTTGATGTAGATTAATGATAGCTAAATCACATTTTCTAATTGCCTCCTTCTATAGTTTATTATTAAATTTTAAGAAAAAACTTGGCTAAGCTGCTCCTTAGCAACATGTGCATCTCTGTTTCTCGATATTTTGTGGTTTTCTCAGAAATATTTATATTCAGAGAATAGAATTTTTTAAAATGTCATCATTAAGAAATTTACTGTGTAGAGGAAGGACCAGTATTTTTCTTCATGAAATGAACATGACAATTTATTGTGCTTCGAAGCATTCACTCATAAAAATTGTTGTAGCTGTTAATAATATGATTTATGTTCCAGCAGGGTGGTGCTTTTGCTTTTTACAGTCTTAACTTAGATAACTGTGTAAAATCCAGGATTTACAATCACATTTGCTGTTATGGTCCTTGCTTAGTTAGGACAAGAAGCGTAATTTCAAAAGCAAGTCATTTCTGATATAGTCTCAAATCTAGAGAAAAGGTCAACATGAAATCTTCCTGAGTGTATGCATTGTTACTGGATGATTAGTAAATTATTGTGTACATATAAATTACATGAACATATGCTCTTTTCACTCACTTCTTTATAAGTTAAGGGGTAGGTACACCTGAATATGAAATTGTTGTCTTAAATTTTAGATTTAGATTTTTTAGTCAGTTGAGTGTGTTGCTGCTACTTTAATTTTCCCTTAAGTGGCTAATTCTACATTTTGTAAATTTTTTTAAGTAT